CACTGAAATCCTTCTGGAAGATCGAAGAGCGCAAGAGGCTCTCGGTGAACGCGCGTGTTTCGACTCCGGTGGTCTGTGTCGGCTCGCCGCGAGTCTGGATCGTTTTCACCGAGGAGGATCCGAGCGAGAACTTCCTCGCCATCTCTCTCTTGTTCTCTTCCTCTGCCCCTTTGAATGCTACTTTCGCGAACTATAATCCCGACGGAAACGCGAACATCGCGAATTTATTTTCGCGCGCGGCAGGTTACGAGCAGAGCTGCGCTTTCTCAACCCGGAAACGGGACAGGATTAAAACGGTCTTCCGAGTTCGACGAAACGGAACCGCGACCCGGTCTCGATTTCGTTCGGCTCAACTGTTACGCGTGCCCCGCGGCGAAAATATCTCCGGTTCTCTTGGTTGCCGTGGTCAGCCGTTGATGATTATGATACAATGAACTCAGCGTAAAATTAGTCTCTTGGGAACAGACATCGTCGATGAGGCTGGATCTAAGAACTTTGGACTTCGAGATCGGGCAATTAGCCTTCGAACTGAAAATTCTGGTAAATGAAGCTTCGAATTGTGACATTTCTCGTCACTAGTTCTGTTTGTCAATATCTTTACCTTATTTCTTGAGCTATGAGGAAGATCCTTTGCCTCTATTCTACTAGAATTGTTCCACGCTGTATGTTAACCATCAAGTGAACCAAATGGCCAATGAAGCTAATACAGAAACAAAATTATATAAAGGATATCGGAAAAACCAATGGGATACCAATCACCGAGAAACCATAGGTCAAAAGCAAAGTGAAATCATCAGCTGGGAAGAACCCAAGGAACCATAGGTCAAAAGCACAGTGAAGTTACCACTCGAGGATCACCCAAGAAACTCAGTGGATCTCTTGCAACAATTAACCCCTTGCCCTACAATATCGTGTTGAGCTCGTGGCGAAGATTTCAAACGTGGCGTGATTTCTTCAAGTCCTAACTAAATATTATTCTCCTGTTATCAATTAGAGTGTAATACTGTAAAGTAAACGTAGACACAGAATGGGCTTGGAATTTTTTTCTAACGAATTACTGGCGATGAAGTAGTTCTGCCGAACGCAAGAAATAATCACACTGGAACGGGTTAAAAGAGCGTTGCGGTCGGAAGATCGGCGATCGCCACTGATTGCCAGTCGACCTATGCAGCTACCGACCTTTCGGTCGCGTCGAGTCGGTCATTGAGAAGTCAACTGGACGCGGAGTTCCGCGTCGACGTCTGAAGTCGAAGCCGCGCGTTCGAATCGATTTATGCGTCGCTGGACGTCTCTGTCCGCGGACGGATGCACCGTATTTATGCGCCTGGAACCGGCAGGAAGAAAAAAAGAAACGGACACGCCGCAGGGACAGCGTCTCGACGAGCCGGAACTCGCTTGGACCAGCTAACTGTCTTTAAAGTGTACGACTAGTTAAGGGATTCCGCTCGCGACGATTGCGGAGGCGTGCACGCGTGCATCCACATTTCGGACTGCATCCCGCTGATGTGTACTTTAAGGTAACGATGTAATGAGACGGTGGATGCAACCGGGCGGCCGTAAACGCTGGCCCGCCTTGTCCATTTGCCACTTTAACACTAAACACATACACCAACACTAAAGCTACCAGACCTGATTTTTTCTTTTACAATCATTGAAAAGATACAAACGTTTCTCAGAGAAATGACTGAATAACCTGATTTGGTAATGCACGAACTGAAATATGAGCCAATGAAAATCTCGATAGATATACTCTTATAATACAGAGATTATAAGGAATATCTTATATCTAGAAACATATAAGGAAGTTAGTGTGACCGCTCAGCATAGATTGATCCTTTCCACTAGAAAGATTTTTAATAGAAACACTCTATGTTTTCTGGTGAGATACAAACGATTTTCTTTTTAGTATGACTAAGGCGAACGCGTACGTGAATTAAGAAACGAAGCTGTTTTATTTAAGTATTTCATATATTCAGGCATTATGCAGATATTATGTAGAAGAGTTTATGGTTTTGCTGTATCCAATCGAGTGATTGAGAGTCGCCTCTCGAGTGCGGAAGGTTAATATAGTAAACACTGAAAAATGATACATCTTTATTTAATACGAATGGTATAGATTGATGGAATATCAAAATTGTTTGTGAAATAAACGTGAAAAAGAAGGACTACTGAGAAAGAATGTTGAATACGACGAGTTGACTGAAAATTTTATACAAACTGGTGAAAAAACAAAAGTTGTAAGTACAGATGCATTATATTTTAATTTGCTTTTTCCTTCCATGCTAAACTGAATGTTTATAATACGTAAAGCCAGCGTTAATCTTGAATTTATGTGCGATAATTGTGGACAAGTAGACCAATTACGGGCTCCGGTGCAAAGAAACGTATAAACAGGCTCACCTATTGATTGCAATGAGTAGTTTTGCCCGCGAGTAGTCAGTGAACTAGCTCCGCGTAATCGTTGCTTACATCTCGCTCTATCATTACATACCTTCAACTTAGATTCTCGCGTGTGCTCGCGTATCGTCTAGTGTCCCAGTTCCTTTCGTTCGTGTCTCTTCCAACGGACCGATCTTTCCACGGCTATTTCAGTGGTCTCGATTCGTCCACTCGCGATTCCGCGAATTAATCTTTTCTACTTCGTGTTACGGCATTCTTGTACTTTAACTTTGGTATCTGGGTTTCGTAGTTTACATAAAGTTGTGGGTACTTCAAATAACACGTAATTATTATCACGTGCTCAAGTAACAATTTTGAAGTTACATATTCTTTTAATTAAAATATTATGAGTATGGCAGTACCTGCTCCATCACAGTACTAAACAGAACAGCCATCGCGCAAGCTGATCCAAAAGAATCGGAATTTGCAGAAGCATCCGCTGTCTACTTATCTACACCGAGCGGCGACAATCTGGCGCAACAACAATTTTTTGTCGGGCAACCGATAAAAGTTCGGTCGCGCAACACCGTTGGTGATCATCTAATGCAGGGTTCGTCAAACTGTGGGTCACGGAATAATTGAAATAAATCGAATTGAAAAAAATACAATGAAACTATGTAGCATTGGCCAACGGTGATTAACACTAGATTTAGGGAATTCGTCAATTCGTTGGATTCTAAATTTTATAAACATTATGTGGTGAAAGATTAAGTCGACTTTGATTACTGTTACGCATATCCTAATTCTCTGTCTTTAAGAACTAAGCTCTGTTTCTTTAAGCTCTAATTCCCCAGATCTGCATAATGAACCCTTATTGTTCTAGTACAATAAACGCCCGTAAAACCACGATTAAAACCATTATTGAAAGCAATAAAACATTAAGTTGTTCCATAAGTTTTCTCCGGCAAATGTCTCAAAGAAGAGGAAGCATTACAGAGCTTCATTACAAGTCTCTTAATAACTTAGAATAAAGCATGAAATATCGTGTATCCATTATGTACTAACAAAACGAAAGAAACTTTTAGGGTTTCTTAATAAGTTCATCTAAAGTCTCCGTCTTCATTCCACGAAGAGGTTTGACGGGTTTTAGTGTTCACCGAGAAAAAGGAACGAAACGCAGCTGGGTAATTACCCTAATGTGTCAGCAGCCAAGTCTAGGCCAGGTTCGACGCTTATCTCGGGCGCGAGCGTGCGAAACACTCGGGCGTAACGAACCGGCCAGACCCGTGGGCGAGTTAATTTTACGAAAGCGTGTCTAGTGCGTCTGGACTTTCTCACTCTCGCGGAAACTGCCGGGTGCTCCGGGACGCTTAAGAAGAGGAGGCAGCCGGGGCCGTCGAGTGGCAGCGCGGCTCGAAAATCGCGAGGATGCTCGAGAATAAAGCGCAAGGGAGGTCGATCCGCCGGATAAAACGGCGGAACAATGAAAAGCAGCCGCGCTGGACGAACGAGACGAACAGACGACGGCGAAAGGTGAACCGGATGCCAGGGGATGAAGAGGGAATGGCGAAAAGGGAGGAAAAATGGCGACGCCGGAGAGAAGGAACGCGCTGCGTCGAGCGGCGGCGTTTCAGTTACTGAAATCGGTGTCGCGGGATTGGGAAAATTAGATGATTCTCAGAATTAATTAATAATTTCGCAGAACGATTTTCGCGGTTGTAGTTGATGTACCCTAAGAAGGGACTTTGAGCAATTATGTGGAAAATGAGCGTGAAATTGCGATGCAATTGTGTTTGAAAGTTGAAGATCACCTGTTTGATGAAGAGGACACGTTCAGGCTTTTTTATATTTGGAGCTTTTATATATTTTAAGTTGATACGTGCTGTTATTGATAAATTCAATATTCTTATGGATATTTATTTAGCATTGTTGCTTGACATATTACCTTTTAACAATGTGTTTGCTAAATGGAATGTTTTCTATAATGTTTATTTTAATCAAAAATGAAATGTTTTCTGTAATGTTTGTTCTAATTCTAACTGAAACGTTTGCTCCAATTGATTTTTTTGGAAATTCAAGCAACGATGAATAACTTTTTTCTGTATTTTCTTATCAACGGGCGAGAAATTCCTCTCTCGGTTCTTTTAGCGTTAAATCTCTCCGAACACGAGCGAGAGGCTCGTTTCCTACTGTTTTTTATAGCCCTGGCCGCGAGCGACTTATCAATTTCCTTTTAATCTTCGCAGTGCTATATTTAGCTGCGGAGTTGGGCAAAATGTGATCTGATTACATCGGGTCGGGGGAAAGTAATTTCGATCTTCGATCGAACCGGGATAAGACCCTATTTGTAGTTAATTGCAAACTAAAAAAGTCGCAGAACAGTGTAATAAACTTAGAGAAAACAATGGATATTACGTAACTAATGAAATCGAACCGTAACACCACGATAAATTCACTTACTCGCGCCATAGGTAATAAAACAGCGATAACGAGGTATCGAAACGTAACTGTCCATGTGATTAGAAGTTACATTTACGAGCGACCAACACGTTAACGTTGATAAAACTTTCGAATTTGTTTCGTTTGATATTAGATTTTGAAATGCGAACGTTTCGTTCCAGGCAAACGTGAGCCAAGCCGAGTACGAGAGAGCGCACAGAGAGTACCTGAAGAAAGTTCACCTGTCCTCCAACGAGGAAACTTCGAAAAGCAGGAAAAGTCTGCACGTGTTCCACGCCACAGGTAAAGGAAAATAAACTGGCTTTGGTCGCGTGTTTACACGATTTCGCTACTTCCTCCCTGGCCCTCTCCCTCTCCTTCCCACCTTTTCTTCTCTCTATCGAGACGTTATTCTTAAGAGGGAACGAACGATCCTCAGAAACTCGTAATTTCGTGGCCGGCTTTCTGAAAAAACATACACGCGCGTCCGCTATAATTACTGGCCGCGTAAACAGCCATGTTTCCGTCGGCTCGCCGACGAATCCGACCATTCCGATTCAAAGAACGCTGCTGGTTTCGCCACGTGTGTCCATCGCGTGTCTTGTTAACAAGAGAACGGCACCTTTTTCAATTAAAACTTGGAACAAATTGTAGAACCTCATACGTACAAGCAGAATCCCGAATATTAGCTGGTCATTTTTCACTGTCCTTATAACGAACAACGAACGTTGCAATAAATGATTTAGCAGGTCTTCCTCTATAATGTTGAAAGATCTAAAATTCCCCGTCAATTGTAGAACGTTCACACTTAGTAGGCATTTAGAAAGCATCCAAAAAACCGCGTGAGTCACTGTATCTTAAGGTACCCGCCAACTCTTACACGCCGTGACACATCATTCGCTCCGGAATGAAACATTTGCATTCATAATAAAATGCATCAACGAAACAAATTTAGACCTACGAAGAATGAGACCAGCGGAATTGAGGACTACGACAAACTGTCAGTTCACGCGGCTATTTTTCGTCCCGCTTCATTTTCATCCTCTGAAAACGTCGCCTCTACTTTGTATTACCGTCACAGGTACGTCGAGTCTTCGCGTCTGCCTGTTCCCTTTTCGTTCAACTTCGCAGTCCACGCGCACGCGAAAAGGGAGACGTACGGGAAGAAGTTGCACGCGTGAAACTAGTTGGTCGAGTGGCTCTTTGGGAGCCCGAATCCTCGAGCGGAGCGGCGCGGCGCGACGCGGCACGTTTCGCGCGCGTAGACGGGTATTAAAAGAAAGGGCCCAGGTATACGTGACATTTGACTGCGTGGAAAGGGCAGAAGTGACTTCAAGCACCCTCGAACCAGCTCCTAACGGCTCTGCCCTCGGATCTCCTCTCTTTCCACGTCGCCAATTACGAGCGGCGCGTTTTGCATACGATTATACGCGCAGAGAAACGTCGCGATGCGACATTCAGCAACTTAATATGACATCCTCCCGACAACACGCATTTAAGACACTTTGTTCCATTAACACTGGGTTTATATAACCTTTCAGTTCGATAGATTGCAAATTTAAAATTTCCCAAGCATTTAGAAATCATATTTACTACTTTTCAGCAGTTGTAAAATTACCGAACAAGTAGTCCCAAAAAATCAAATTCCACTTTACTTTCCCATAACTTGCAATAAGTTTGAACTTCTGATTTTCTAATTTCTTCACAGAAATTACTATTTTCCAACAATTTCTTTGAAATTTGATTAATCGGCTCACATTATCGTTGAGTTCAATAACATTGTCATGCCTTTCACCGCGTGCTAGGCTTCTAAAACTCAACTTCCGCTCATTTTTCCGCAATTGAACTGCGATAAATTCGTGAACATCCGTGGCCTCTTCGCAAATCAGCCTCCATATTCAACGCATCCAAAGAAGCCTACGCCAACGAGCAAAAAGCTTTCGATTTCATCTCACGAAATACCCGCAGGATTCGCAAGCGAACCGCTTTCTTTAGAAGGAAAAACATGTCCTGGCGAACGCGTGGTCGTCGCGGCTCGGTTCGCCTCCATTTGCTCGTCCTGATCCTGGCCACGTCTTCTACATCCGCGGCGTGGCGCGACCGCGTTATTATGAAATAGAAATTCCGACCGCGATGGAATGCCGAACGACGAGTTCCCGAACGCAATAAGAACGAATCGGCGAGGAAGCGGTTCGATTTCCTTTTGCATGGTGCTCCTGGTACCCCGTCGCGTTTCTTCCCCGGGATTCCTGCTCGGTGCCCGGCGGTAATCGGTGCGCGGTCGCGTGCCGATTCCGTGGAAACCGGCGCCGAAAATACCGCGGGATTCCTTTCGAGAAAATAATGATCCCGCGCGCGGCACTATTCCTGGCCACGCTGCCGCGCAAGGTAATCTATAATTGGTGGCCGTGGCGCGAATAAACGGTCCGTCCGAGTAATATCGCCGCTCGGATTCCCGTACGGTGACGAATTTCGCGTCGAACGTTTACGCCGAATCGGTCGGAATGCCAGGAATTCTCGGCGGGTTTCGCGCGAAGTTATTTTGCGATTGAGTTGTTCGCTGGTCGATCGCCAAACGCGAATCGCTGCCTTTTTCGATTCAAGTTTCGGCGCGGCGGTCGGATCGCGTGGGACAGGGATCAGCGGAACGACGATCGTCGCGGGATCCTATTCTGGGGTCGCCTCCGTAACCGTGAATCCGCGTAACCCGGTGCCCGGGGAAACAAACGATCGCATCGCGATGAGAACGGAATGCAGATTGATTTAGATGCTCCGGTTTTATGGACCGCGCGTTCTTGGCTCCCGCAGGAACTCCGCGCCCGATGATTTGCGAGATAGCCGGCCCGGTGCGCACACAAGATTCTCGATTCGGTAGCCGACCGTTTAACGGCCGTTTTCTCGCCGATTGAACGGTACGACATTGCGCGAGTAATGTAAATACGTTATGCGCGATCTAAGAACAAAGGATCAGTCTAATCGGGGTACTTGAATTCTTGTAAATTAGTCTCGCGGATATTTATAATTCGTGGATATTCTTAAATCGCTACCCTCGGTGGAAAGTTGTTGATACTAGATCTTTAGAACTAGAATGCTATAAAGAATATTTTCTAAATTTTTACGTTGATGTTAATTGACGCAATTACACGATTACAACTACAATCGTCTGTTTTCGGGCCTCCAATATCCAAGATCCAAGTGAACGAATATCGATGCTTCCAGGGACGATGGAACGAACGGTACAATAAATGTCCGTAACACCTAGTGTTAATGTCCCAGCAGAAAGTAAGACGAACGGCGTTTCGTCGCGTTCACTCTTGCTCGTAAGCGTTAATCCGAGACACCCGGTGACCGAGAAATAAGGGATCCTCTCCGCTCCGTTTCTTATCTCGTCCTCCGAAAAAAGACGGTGAAGCGGCGTAAAAAACCGATTCGCCGAGTGGGACACGCGTAGAGCGTATTCATCGGAGGATTTGGAAAACTATTTTCTACCGGGCCCTCGGGCCGTGGCTCTCGAGCCGCGGAGATAACGTTCGGGTGAGGACCGTTAGGATATCACGGTCGGCGGACGAGGATCGAGATAACTTTCTCGCCGGGACTCTTGTTGTATTTTTACATTTCCGACAGAGATTTATCCCGCACGACGAAACCTGTAACGCCGGCGTTGCGTTACACGATGTTTTACGACCGGTACCAACCGGGTCAGCGACACCCGACGCGACGCTAATCCGTCGGTGTCGTCTTACGTGGACGCCACGCCGTTGTTCACCAAACTGGCCGAGGAAAGGGAAAATAAAGGGCGCGAGAAACGGAGGGCGGTCCTCTTCGCGGATCGCCGATGTTGTTTCAATGGAGATGGCCTCGTTTAGGCCACGCTCCCACGCGAGCTACGCGACAATAATCATTCGGGACGTCTTTGCCAGTAACTATCGGACTGATAACAATGTGTGTCATTCCGCGATGATACAACCCGCTCTTCCGACGTTACGCTTTTCGCATGTTTTCGGGTCATTTTGAAGCGTAATTCCTAGATTCGCTGGCTGAACGCTAGTGACAATTCAGGTACGTTCGGGATGTAGAGTTCAACTTCCTATCCCCTATCACTTAGCATTGATCATTCTACTTTCACTAAGTTCCTTGAAAATCTGAACAACTTTGCCTTCAATTATCAAACTTTAAGCTTCAACTGTAGAATATCCGACACTTTACAAACATATCATACATTACATGAATAATACCAAAAAATCAGATGCAAATCTTCCAGCTTCAATCTTCTAGTGAACACAGGCTAGATGTAGCTCGTACATCTCATTCCTTTGAATATCACGACACATCTTCTATCGACAAGCTACCGTTCAATCGAATGTAACAAAACATTCCAATACGGTTGTGAAACGATCCATCGACTCGCTGCGTTGTTTTGGCTCGAGAATCCAGATCGGCTGGCTCCGCGCGCGGGAACACGGCATAATTCGAAGTTAAACAGTTCGTTTCTTTTTCGCGCGCGCCACGCCGCAAATAATGTTGCAAAGGAGATATATCGCGGTCGTAAATAGCCGCTTACGTGCGGCTCGCGCATCACTTTCCTAGAACCATCCTGGAATGCGCCGGCTCGTTTCCGTGACGGACTACCTGTCCGTGGGCCCCTGACGCAAAAGCGTGCGTGCGAAAATCCCCGCGCAACGGGCCACGCTGTGACGCGCGAGTACGTTTATTAACGAATTACCCCGGTGTTTGATAATTCCTCTAATTGGCCGATGTAAATGGAACGGACGGGACTGGTCGTTGTCGGCGACGGCCGGCCTCTACCGGATACGCGGCCCGCTCGGCGCGGCGATCGTACACACCCGTGAAACAGAACCGATGCGATGAAAAACGCGCCGGAGAAACGTCGTCGTCGTCGTCGCCGTCGACATCGTCGATGGCAACAAACTCGCTACGCCCGTGGCGACACGTAGTCGGCGATCTGTGCGACGGAAAAAAAATCGCGATCGACACAGTCATTGGGCCCGGGTCAATAGCCCTTCGGTGTCACTGACTACTTACCATTATAATTAGACCGCGCGGGCTTTTTTGCGAGTACGCGTCCCCTTCGAATCATTTTTTATGAACGTGGACGGAAAATAAATTTCGAAGCCTGTAGAATTCGAATTGTGATTAGATCGTAATTAATACAGTCATCAAGGAGAGTCAGTGACCTTTCACGTCACTGCCTACGGTTATAATTGGGCTGAGGATACGGGCGATTTTTGTGGAATTGATGTTGATCTATGGAAATTGATGTTTGAGAGAGAATATTTTGGTGAACGATGTGTTATCACGTTTCGGGGGAAATTAACCGTTTCGTTGTGATTAACGCATGGATTGTTGAACGAAATGTCTGTGATTTGTGTTTGACCTTGATTCGAACGTGCTAGATTGTTTTTTCATGTAAACGTTTAGCGTGTTATTCTTGTACAACGATAATAATTATAATGATGATAATTTAGTCATTATGCCACCTGTTTGAAATTTGCAATAAATTCGTAAGTGTGGTTGCGCAGACATCAAGACACCATAGGATTGGACCGAGCCGCGATTATTACTTATTTACTACTAATTCATTACCGGCTTTTACATCGCCATAAATTCAATCGTACGCAATCGTTTCTCTTATATTGATTTAACGTCCCCTCGTAAAATTTTAAATGGTCGTGCCAATTGCTCGTACTCACTCAACTTCACCGATTTTAATTACGTCCCCGGGACATTAAGACGAATGTCTAGGTTGGAGACATCTATGTAGATCCAAGATATTAACGATTAATTTACAGAAAAAAATACCGAGCGACATTCGATTTCTTGGACAGATAGGCAAACATTTTATTAAACGAAAACTGGTTTCGAATGGTGCATCAAGCGTTGCAGGCGTTTGCATTGATAATAGAGGCGCCTCGAGAGCGACAGAGTCACACCTTCTCAACAGAACCTTATGTTCTCTACAAACCAATCGATACGTTTTTATATCCTCCATAAAAGATATTTTAACGTCAGCATTGTATTCAAATCCACATACTTGATTCAACGGCATGCCAAATAAGCGCCAATCTTGACATTACAAACACCCTGCACATAACATCAAACCTTATAAAAAATTCGAAAACCCATAAATTCCTAAAAGTCCACAGCCTGCCATTCGATTCCTCCAATTAATCTTAATTTCTCAGCTCACAGTTTCCCATTTCCTTTTCCATCGGTTCATTCATCAAAAACTCGTTTCAACGATAACAATCAACAATAATACCTAGTAGTCTACAATAAGCCCAGTGACAGCGATAAATCGTAAGACAGAAGCCGAGAGAGGATTCAAGGTTCCGTTTACGTAATCCCATGCTCACTAGAATCGTGTTCGTTACAGCGCATCCTGGAAATGGATCGACTCGGATCCACAGGCCGGACGACAGAGAGGGACAACATCGTCACCGGCTGTTCTTTCCCGTGGAAATTCCTGAGACAGAAGGGAACGCGTCGGTGGATCACGCGACGCTGCGACTGTTGCTGCACGGTCATTACAGCGGGCGATCCGACGTGGATGTTCAGCTCTACCAGAGAGCACACGGGTCGAGGAGGCTGATCGTGCGAAAGAGGATCGCTGTCGAAGATCCGCGGGATACCAGATGGCTGGAGCTAGACGCGACCATGGCGGTGTCCTCGTGGTTGGAGGCTGGCCACGAGAATCTCGGCCTGGAGCTAGAGTTTTTATTGGAGGACAAGCCAGTGCGACGCACCTTCTCGTCGCCTGTCCTCAACGTGTTCACGGAAGCTTCCTTGGAAACAGGCGGCAGGTCCAAGCGATCCACGCCGGAGGAGCTGATGTCCTTGCACAAAGGCCGCAGGACCAAGTGCAAAGGTGAGAGCAAGAAGTGCTGCAGACACGAGCTGACCGTGATGTTCAAAGACCTGAAGGGTTTCGACTTCATCGTCTACCCGAAAACTTTCGACGCCGGCTACTGCAAGGGTCGATGCCCGCCCAGGTACAACCCGGCCCATCATCACGCTCTGCTGCAGAGCCTCTTGTGGAAAGAGGACAAGAAGAAGGTGCCCAAACCGTGTTGCGCGCCCAGCAAACTCGATCAGTTGATGATCGTCTACTTCGACGAGAACAACGCCACCCAGCTCAAAGTCTCTTACTGGAAGAACATCCAGGTGCTCGAGTGTGCCTGCTCCTGAAGAACTCGTATGATCCTCGTGCTGGTTCGAGCGGAAGTTAGCGTTAGAGCGCGCGTGCCTGGCGCTCGTGGGGTGACAGGGGTTGAATACGGTTTTTGATGGTTGAAATGGACCTAAGGATCGAAATGATGTTAGAACGGTTAAAAGTGGAGGTGATTGTAGTCTGCGTTGGTTTTTTGTTTGCCAGGTCATGTGCTGAGTCCGCATCTTTGAAATTTTGTCCGGGTTGCGTCTGGATGAACATCGTTAACGTAAAATTCAAAGTTTCCTGTGTAATTGTAGTTTTAAAGTGTATGATAGTTACGAGCAAAAAGCAAACGGTTGCATAAGAAAATTCGTATGGAGTACGTACGTAGGGTTTTCCCAGAGTCATAAACGCGATGACTTGGTTTACAATGAATTCTGTATCACTTCTGAAAATATAATACTGGGAAAATTCGTTACGTCATTCGGATTTTAAACGCATTATTGTTTCGTGAATTACTCGTTATTCAGAAAATCTTTCGGTTAGTACTTACTGCATCATTTTGGTTCTTTGCAACTGTTTCATAGAGAGTCTTTATACAACCGTTAACCGTTTCAACCCCAGGATACAGCGGACAGAAATGTTTACGAAGGAACGAAAATCCACCAAAGAATCGTCCGAATAGCGTTCGGTGGTGCCGCTTCGTGGTCGTTCCTCGCAGTGTAGCAATCGCTTTTTTCCTTGTCACGTTCTAATCATTCCATGCAAGTTATCGAGTTATTCGAAAGTACACCTCAATATAATAATACATTAAGGTATAATCTATTTCTCGAAAGAAATCTCAAACCATCTTTCACTTTAAGTATGCAAATAGCATCAACGTGAAGTGATCGTATTTAAATGAACAGGTATTATGGTCATGATAGCCTTTTCTTCCAGAAACAGACTATAAACCTAATAAATTTAATGACTTTCACGGGTCTCTCTAAAGTGAGCGTTACTTTTTGTAGATACAAATATTCCAAATTATTTTCAATGGTCTGCAGTACTCGTTCCTAACAAGGCATGAATTTTCGAAGTAGAGTTTCACATGCTTTGGTACCACGTTGAGATGAGAAGTTGGCTAGTGCAAGGAATGCGGGTCTGATTGGTTATTGGGCACGCGTATTTTCGTTATTGGCCGAAGCGGTAATGTCAACGAATCGGATCATGTAACAGATGCAATCAGGCGAAGCGAGGGGAATACCTCTCTGTCCCTGTGCCGTTCCACTAACCAACTTCCCATCCGTGAACAGTACTTGTATTTTGCTTCAGCTTTCTACTAGTGTTGCTTAAATATGTATCTGATGTCTTCTCGCTCACGAGCAAGTACCCCTCAGTTGTAGCTCTTGGATAGTTGAACTCACTTTGCCAGTGCCTATGAGACCTGTTCAAGTTAACAAAAAAAAGTAAAAGGGTACCTAGTATCTAGGGCCTGCGCATATCATAATACGAGCTTATTATTTGGTAAATTACAGCTTTTAACATTAAAACTATCAGACAAGTCAAAATGACTCATTCCTAATTTCTTTTTGCGATTATAGAAAAGATAACACCCTACTAAAGAAATTGATTTCGTAATACACGACCTGATTTATAAATTAATAGAAATCTCAACATGCGCAGACTTGGAGTTTCCATAGAAAAATTTCAAAAAATTAATTTGACTGCTCGGTGGTTCTTAGTATTAAGTCACTGTAGTCGTCCCACCGACTATAAAACGCTATCATTGCATGGACGAGGAAGTTTCCTGTATCGATGAACGGCTACGAACTGGATACCAGGCATCATCGAAAGCCCAGACCCCATAATCGTGGGTCTTAAATTGACTGTGATACTAAGATATCTGCTTGACATTATTACTCATAAATAATCGTATT